TTTATCCTACACAACAACAACAGCAACAAAAAAGGTACTTGCAGATTGAAAAAGCAGTAGCAGTCAGAGCTTGCTAAACTAAATCTAAGCCAAACCAAACCAATGACTAGAACAATCAAAACACGTGAAAAATTCTACTTAATCAGATAGATCTAACTTCTAAGCGCGCTAAATGAGGAGTACTGAGTATCCCCAAGTCAAACGTAGAATCTAACTACTCATCTTATCAAAACACACACTTCCTACCAAAAGATCCTAACACTCATCTAAATCCCCTGTCCATATTCCCCACAAGTAGACGAAACAAAACGGTTTTCGACTTCAGATTAAATCTCATCCAAAGAAAGAAGCCATACCTCTTTGCTTTTGGCTTGTTCCGACGATGCTAAGAGAAGAGACGAGAGAGATACAAATCAATCAATCAATCAGTCGAACCGATCTGATCACAAGTCTATCCTATTTAACTCTTACTTGCTAAATTACTGTAATGATAGCCCACTTTATAATGGGCTTACGTTTTAAATGCTTAGGCTTATACTCAGATTGAGCCCACGTTGGGAAGAAAAATACATATAAAAAAAAACATCTACAAGCTTCAAATTTCAACAGGCTCATATTAAATCAATGTCTATTTACTAGCTTGCAGTAAAAGCTTGCGTTGGATTTTGAAATCTCTATCCTATAAAAACTAGCTTGCAGTAAAAAGCTTGAAGCGACAGCTATAGTTACCGTTGGAGCAAAGGAAAACAAAAAATAAAAAAAAATAGAGTTTAATTTGGAACGTTGAAAATAGGACAGTTGCTTTGTTCTCTTACAGAACTCTTATAATCTCTTGTTTCTCTCTCAGCTATCTATAAATAAAGAGTTCCTCTTACCATAAGTCTTAATTAATTTCCTCTTTCTCTCAGCTATCTACTTATTTTTGTTTAATTTGTGGTCAGACAACTTCTTTTATAGATAGAATTTCCTAAACAAGGTAGGATTAAAAACTTACTGTAGGTGTACCTTTTTTGCTGGATAATTATACTTTCGTAATCAAGTTATCTTGTTTTATTTATGTTAAAACAAACAGAAAATAGTGAGGTCAAAAAATAAAACAAAAAAAGGTACAAAAAAAATAATAAAAAAATATTTTTATAAACTTCATCGGCCGGTTCATAAATGTAAATGCTCTAACTCCCTCTTTTCTTTTCCTGATTCCACTAGAGATAATGAGATATCTTAAATTTCAGTTTGGTTTCAAGAATTTTATAACTAATAACTTTGGACACCCCCAATAGTCTAATGTGATATCTAATTTTGGGATTCTCGGAATATAGATGTGTATGTATATATTAATATTAGTATTTAATGATGAAGTTTTTATTTTTACTGGAAATCAAATTTAAAAGTTCTCTACACATAATATATACATACAGTATTTTGAGAATCATGGAAGTAAAATTTTCATTGGAGGTGTTGTTATCCCTATTGGCAGGGCCGTGCTTGGTAAAGAAAATATGAAACATTGGCTTAGGGCATCTATTGATGCAAAATTTATATATAGGGCATATTCATAGAAATTCTATTTTGTATGATCTCTTGAAATCTGTTTTTAAGTTTTTATTTAAACTTAAATCAAAACAATCAATATTTTTAAAAAATTTCTACAACTACAATTTGATTCTGAAAACAGATTAACTACAACTAGTCTACACTTACAAAGATATTTATTTTATCATTGTAATTTTTCTGCAGATGTTATTTTTATTTGTTATGAAAACATTATGATAAAGTCATATTCTTTTTAAACTGAAATCACTATTAATATCTTTAGATAAATTTTAATATAATTTTCTTTACTTTTAAATTGCAAACTAATTTCGTGATTGGAAATTATTAGTAAATATAATTTCTTTTTTAAAATAATATCTTGATTAATTATATTTTTCAAGTTAACATAATATTGTAAGAAGTATTTTGAGTAAATTTTTCTATGAAACTTTTAGGTTAGAGGAAAAAATTGCATTAGTCATTGCAAAATAATTTAGTATAAATTATATATTTTATTTTTGGCCTAGGGCATAAAAAACCCTTGTCACGGCTCTGCCTATTGGTAGAATAAATGAAGACCACATAGCAACGAGCCAAGGAAACATATTTTAGTATTTTGAAGAAGAAAAAAATACAGATTATTATGATAGGACAGGTTAACGACACATTAATATTTATTGGTATCGTTTTTTTTTAAACATTATTTTATTGGTATTGTTACCGCAACAAACACTATACCCTGTCCAGATAGAAACAAACTGCTTGTCTTTATTTGATTAAAACTCCTCAATAATCATTTCTTCAATCACAAAACAAGGTTAATTACGGAAGACTTATTGCACAAACAAATGATACAAGTGTATATATATCACGCATTTTAATAAATATCACATAACTGCCGTAGCTGAATCATGTTGAGAGCTGACGTTTAACCAACAATACCAATAAAAATAAAATACAAGTCATTCAATCTGATCAAGATGCTGGAACTCGGAGATAGAGAGGGATTGAGTTTTTGGCAACTGGTGGTGAATCCCATACTGAAAAAGCACTTGCAGAGTTCATCCATCTATCGGTCAATTCAGGATAATGTCGATCAAAAACATCTTTGAGATTCTCTGTAGTATTCACCCATTCAAGTCCTTTCTTTGTATAAGTTATTTCATTGAAATCACTCGTGAAGAATCTATCCGCTTCTAATCTCCTGAAAATACATTTAATTCGATAATGCATATTAAGTATTGTCCATCGTTGAAATTAAATTCAGCCGTCCATTTTTATTATTATCCTGGGAAATTAAAATAAACGTATAACAAACACTTATAATATACCTAGTAGCCATGAGGAGGAAAATGTTAAAGGCTGTCTCGCTAATAGCGAACCCTTTGATTTTCTTCTCGGCCATAAGTCCCACCTGAAGATCAAGCTCGTCCACATCACTACCGTACACGTCTTCTAGTGCTTCAATTGCTTCTTTATCGTCCGTTAGATCTTCCCACTTCTCTATCGGAATCATAAACATAGATCTCCTAAATTCATTGTAGCGTGCAACATTCCTCTCCCTGTCCCTATAGACTATATATCAAATGACGAGCATTCATGTATGTGAGCACTCATCCACTAATACAAACACCAAATGAACGGCTTGGATCGGATTCACTTACTCTCTAAAGCAGCTAAGTCAATGTGGTCCGGACGATCATAGCCATTGGGGTCGTGTGGAACAAGATCCCTAAGCCATACTGGATAATTCATCAGTTCAAGAGCCCCACTTGCTTGATGACCCATTGATACCATTAGCTTAGTGAATCCAATATGAGACATAGTTTGTTCTCCCTTGGAACCAAGCAATTTTCCGAAAGAAACCCTAAAATCCCATATAATCCAATTATTTAAGTAAAAAAAAACAAGAGAGAACTAAACAAAAAAAACCTCAACTTGCAAAATATTTGATTTGGAAATTTCGAAGATAGAGGAAAATTAGAGAGCTCTAAAAAGTAAGTTACATACTCTTCAGTCAATGGTAGTGATTTATTAGTTCCTGGTACAACGTCGATGTCACGTAGCTCGAGCTGATCAGGTAAGAGCGAGTGCATTCGATAGACACTCGTGAATTCTTCCGTTATCGAATATGGGACTCCATGATTTTGCGGTTTCTTCATACCCACGACACCTCCCAAGATGGAACTCCCTACATGTCCGAACGAATCTTTAAACTTCTTTCCTAAAAGTCCGTACCTAAGACCACACATTCATGTTAATGTGTTAGTCTTTTTTTTTTTGAGAATTATGTTAATGTGTTAGTTACTAGTAATAAAAAGAATTGTTTGACGTGATTATAGATCAACAAAGATGTACAATTACTCACCAATTAGCTCGCATCCCGGCAAGTAAAGTGTCGGTTTTGAGAAGCTCAACAGTCCAATCTATGGTATGAATCTTGGCAATCACTGCTGACGTCACTAACCTAGCATGGCGGTACAAATCTTCGTCTTCCAAATCATCGTACTCCTTCTACATGATGCATGCAAAATAATTTTGAAAAAAATTCATAATTTCACAAAAAAATGAAAAACATATAATAGTTGACCTTGAGGGCATCGCATACGGCGTTGTGCTCTTTGATGAAAAGAGCTTGCAAGGCGGAAACACCAACCCAACTATTACGTACGTCGCCGGAAATGGCTATACCGTCTTCGTCTTGGAGTAGGAGACCTGTCTCCTCCGATATCTTTAGTTTTCCGTCTTTGTAAGTTCTCACTCTCTCCATTGTTTTCGAGTTGCTTCCATAGATAGCACTCGAATCCCTAAATCAATAATGCTCACTCGTATTAATGTATATTTTGTTGGTTTTTTAAATTATTTACATAACCTGTAGAGTTATACTGAAACTTACCACCAAGGTGTACGGGAATTTAACGAACCGGTCTTGATCTCGAAGAAACCGGTAGGAACTTCCTTTGTTTTGAAGAATCTGAAGGAACTTAAGGGACACTCATTCGATACTTCTTTTGGAGCCACGAGCTCGATCTAAGTTTATCAATTAATAACAAGATCAAACCGACTTGATTGTTTACAGATTTTGAATTGGTTTTTAACTTTTGATTTTGAAAAAAACTATTTTTTAGACTATCAAGTTTTCAGAGAAATAGATTCCATGTAATCTAGGAAAACTAGTTTTTACAAATAATCATCTTTATGATTGTTTGCATTAGTTTTTAGTTTTTAGATTTTTAGTTTTTGGTTTTTGATTTTAGCTTTTTATTTTTGGTTTTTAGCTTCTAGTTTTAGTTTTAGATTTTGATTTTGTTTTTTGATTTTTCTGTAGTTTTTAAACTTTTTAAGAAATACGTAATACATTATTTTAAAATAATACAACAAAAATAGAAATAAAATATTTAAAAGCTACTATTATATTATAATGATTATTATTTAATAATAAAAATGCATTAACATTTTTCATTTTTTTCAGAAAACTAAAATCTACAGCAAAAGTAAAAGCCAAAAACTAAAAATCAAAAACTAAAATCTAAAAACCAAACAAACAACCATCACCTAATTCAGTTATAGTTTAATACAAAGTTGTTAATAAAAAATTTCCGGACATACTACTCACTATTTGTACTGGAAACCAAAACTAAATCACCTTTTCTTAATTTGCCGCTACATTTATTTATTTATTTAGCATATGTATTATTATCGTAAATGTAGGGCATGTAAGAATGATTAACGAACCTGATTAGTTTCTTCTAGATGATCAACCCAATCATGAATCATGAATTGTATCCAAGAAGCTGCAATCATATTAAATTGTTTTCCCGTGTCGATCAACTTTCTTCTTGCTAATAGTTTTGTCGCCACTACCATGGGGTCTGGCTTCAGCAACTTGGAAAATAAAAGACAAAAAAACATGTCTTTGAGTTTTTAAAGTAATATTCAAAACCTGGAAAATCGGAAAACATGCTTCAATTAATATAGAATTTTATAGATAGACATATAGACAAACTTACCTTGATCTTCTGGTCGACGGGAGGACAATTTCTTCCGATGAAGCTATTTTGGCTGCCGACACCTTCGTTGAACGGATCATTGAATTTCCCGTCAGAAGTCCGGTAAGGATAATCAGCAGGATTAAACCGAGTTCCGACCGGAGTTTGACCAACATTGATGAGATTATATTCTTGGTGAAGATGTCTGCGTAACCCTAGGTAGGCCAAACCCAAGAATACCGGAAGCTTGTGCCACGGAACCATCTTATCCACTGCATGCACGATCTGCAATATGTAATTAATCTCTGATCATTATAACTATTTTTTAAATGAATGTTTATAACCAAACACCATAAACATCCCAAACATAATGGTGAAAATATGTTACACAAATCCTCCAGAGAGAGAACACGTTATTAACTACAAAGAATTTTGCATGAAGTCTCTCACACTTAATTATTTAATGACTACATAAAATATTTTTGTAAAAGAAATATATTTTAAAGAAAAATCTTTCTTTGGGAATGAATTAATTATAAGTTTTATTTCATAGTCATATATATCTCTGTGTTTCTACGTGCATATATATATATGTAGTAATACTAACGTTTAATTACTTACAAGAAGTAGGATACGATCGAAGACGGACATTCTTGAGTAAATCTCATGGAAGTCTTTGTGTATGAATTTAAGCAGAACTGAAGAGATTAAAGAACTTATTACTTTCATCTTCTTAAATTTTGTGAGGTTATGATATAAAGCGATTGTGGGAATATCAAACGTAAAACTAGAATCGGTGTTTTAAGCAACAAGGAAAGACCAAATAGTTGTTTGAAAATGGTGTGGGAAAACCTTCGTGTCTGTTTATCTATTTATAGCCATTAAAAAAAAAAAGAAGACTGTTCAAATTTCAGAGAGATACGTCCACTACCCATACTAAAAATCATATTGACTTTTTTTAATAGTTTTATCTGTGAAGCTTACCGTATCATTTTGAAAATGTTCAGCATTATAGATACGATATGAGTCATATGACCCATCTTGAGCAGCCTCGATCTGTAGGCCACCCATCTAGACCCGCCTCCGGATGTGACTTATTTTGTATTTGATGATTTTTGTATGCCACTGCATATTTTGTTTTGTTAGATCATCTTTAATATATTTTACTTTTTTCTTCAAAATAGATCAATTATATAATATATAAATGAATTTTGTTCCAATATTTTATAAACAAAATCAGAAACAATTTCAAAGAATTGAATCGACTAATCAATTTCTAAAAAAAAAAATGTTTAAAAATAACAATCTTTATTTTACAGAGAGAAATAAAAATATATTAAAATACTTCTATTTTAAATAGTATTATATAAAATACGTTGGAAATGCTCTTACTCTGTTTTAGAACAATGTTAAAAAAAACTGATTTTAAAATTTGGTTAAGTTTTTTTTTTTGACATCGTTTACGTTTATTTATTTAACAAATTCTAGCTGAAATTATTCTCTCTATCTCTTTACTACAAAACTAATAGTTTTATTTGATATAATTCATCAATTAACAATTGTTATATTCATTAAATTTAATATCTTAAGAAATTTAATTAAGAGATTATGAGATATATTCAATGCTAAAAGTTATATAATTTTTTTAATAAAAATGTTTGCTTTGTTTCAATTTTGTAATATCATGAAAGATGTTCAATTTTTTTTTTAATTAGTTTTTGAAGTATTCCACTAATGAACTCTATTTTTGAAGCATTCCACTAATGAACTCTAGTTTTGGGTATTCAAATGAGACTTATAAAACTTTATATCGCATCGCCACATGTTTAGAAACATATAATTGATTCGAATTCAAATAGATTATCTTCTCAAAGTTTGCCTACTACGGTGTCATTCATGTGTGACTAGATTTGAGGTCTTTTCTGCATTTTCAGCTAAAGAAATGTACGAAGCAAAATTTTAAAAATGTTAGTATAGTTCTTAACCTGTCAATAGACCACTCTAATCAAACTTTTCGAATCCTCCATAAAAGTACTTTCATGACATTTAAAATTTTAATTAAAAAATATCAAATCTTTCCAATAGTCATCCGCATCAATATTTTGGGAAAATTTACACCGGATGATTCTGAACGTATGTAATCAGACACGTCTGAATCTTTGGATACTTATATATACTCCACCATATATTTGTTCTAAGCCAATATAATCATTGGACTAGTAAATTGATTGAGATCGATTAACTGTTTTAGAAAAAAAAAACTAATTCATTAAATATAATTTTTTTTTTTGAAATGATAACTAAAACGATTTCTACTAATATGTTGTGTCAAGTAATAACATGAGATTTAATGAATGGATTGAATTGGGAAATTAAATCATATACAGCTACAGTTTCTCAAAAACTTTTTTTTTAACACTGGATAATTATGCCATTACAAACTACGAGAAATGTTACAGACGATTCAACAGCCGACAATTCTATACCTATCTTATGAGGATACACGCACGCCGGACTGCATCACCTGGCCGCCCTATCGGATCCACGCTTGACGGTACTCCTTGTGCCATGCTGCAGATCTCTTGTAAGCCTTTCTCCATTAATTCGCATAATTCCGTCTTCTCTGGAATTCGAACCCCATACCTGCTGGTGTAGAAACATTAATGAACCCTTAGTTAAATCACTGGACCAGGGGGGCTTCCACAGTTTCTCAAAAACTTAATTGACAGAAAATTCAATATCGTTGACAAATTCGTTTGCTTTGTTAGACTTATCCAATTAGTACTTTTCAAATTTTTTTTATCTTTGAATCTATTCTATTAAAAATATAAATAATAATTATCTATTTTAAGTAGTTTCTTAAAAAAATCATTTCTTATTTAATAATTTTATAACCACTTTATTGGACATATTTACTAACTAATTTTTCTTTGTTTGTTTGGCTAGACTTATCCAACAAAATATAAGATAAACTATTTTAAGTGTTTTATTATATTTTTTCTATTTTTGCAAACTATTTTATTAATTAATTATTGTCTAATTTAATGTCATTTATTTACGTATTAACCATAACAATTTTATATATTAAAATTAAAATTCTCCATCGTTCTATTTTTTTATTTTAAAATTAAACTATATTAATATTATAAGATTTTGGATAGGATTCGAGTAGGATTCTTTCACGTCCAGATAAATTGGTATGAACCTAACAATATCTAAATAATCTATATACTTAAAATTCACTAAAGAATTTATAAAAGGTTAACTAATATACATGCATGCAAACAGATTGAGCACTATTTAAACTTAATATTCTTCTTTATATATATATATATATATATATATATATATATATATATATATATCCGATTATATTGATTAACCTAACTTAGGGAATACAAAGAAATGATTACAAGTTTGAATTGAACAAAACATCTTAAAAATCATCGAGAAACAATGCGAGTTTTTCGTTTGTTTTAGGGCAGCATTATCGGTGACCCCTTAGCGTTTTTAGTTAAAAACGTTTACAAATGTGTCTTAGCGTTTTTAATTAAAAATTAATGGATTTTCCCGCTAAGTAACAATACCAAGGGACCACCAATAATGTTGTCCTTATATCATAATGTTGTCCTTATATCGTTAACGTATTTGTTTGCTTTGCCTGGCTTACATGGAAATATAATATACATTGATTGACACATACCTACTGCAACAACATGTTCACTTGAAATAACATAATGCACGTGAAACCACATATGTCTATTCATAATGCAACGACATGTTTATTCTATAGCCATCACTAATTTTATTTTGCCATCTTTATAGCCAATATACATTAAAGGCAATCAATACTAACTGAAATTTTAAAAAGTATTCCAAAATTATTAACTGAAATTTTAAGTATCATAAAATATCATTAAGAATTAAAATTTATTTATAAACAATAACTAAAAACTCTATTCAATATTTTTAATTATATTTAATGATAATAACAGTTTAAGTTTACTAAGTTTCAAAATTACATTTTAGAGAGATTTTAAACAAATTATGTTAAAAACAAATATTCATTTTTGATCTCAAATATAAAAATATGTATTACAAGAGAAGTTATGATTTATTTCATGTGATTTTTTTTATTCAGCAATTCTGCTCGAAAATTTACTAATTTGTATGTTTTATCTAACTAATAATATCCTAACAATAAATTTTTATTTGACTAAAATTAAAAAATAAATGAAGATATTACACAAAACTTAAACTTGAAATGCGAAAAGATTAATTTAAAAATTTATTCAGTATATTGTCAATTATAATTTTCACACATAAAACTTAAATATGATTATATGTGTTTAAAAACTTTTATTCATTAACATACACTTCATTTATGACATGTAAATTGACTGCTTCATTTTGTTAAAACGGAATGTAAGCTTATTATTTTATATTTTGGACATTGATCTAGCATATATAATATAAGATATAAAAATAGAAATTCAACTGGTCACATATTTAATAACAAACAAACCAAAAATATTAGAGCACCATTATTAATGGGTTTATAAGTATCTCACAAATACCAAACCAAAATAAAGTAAATGAATATCTTAAATGTTAAGATACTCCCTTAAAAGTTTCTCAAATGAAATATTTTGTGATATTTATAGCGGGATATCTCAAAATTTAAGATCCTCATTTAGTTTATTTTGTTTTGATATTTGTGAGATATTTATAAATATAATCCATTGATAATATTGATCAACATGAGAAGAAGATTAGTAAGTTCATGAATTTAAGAGCAACTTTAGACCATGATTAATTCCAATTTTGTAACTGGGGTCTTAGTTTCGGATAAGAGACAATTCTTAGTTTTTTAAGATTTTAACTAAGAAAAGTTAAAAATCGTCTCTTAAATAAGAGATATTAGAGTTGTCTATTAACCAAAAAGTATAAAAAAATTTTTCTCAAATCATTAGTTAATAATTCTGACTAAGAGACCAGAGTTAATCATGTCCTTGTCGGTTAGGGTTATGCAGTGGAGTTCTACTTTAAATAAAACTAATAGTTTATTTATTTAAATAAAGCAAAATGTGTTGACAAAAAAAAATAAAGCAAGATGTTTGATAAAAAGTAAATGCATCTATATGTGATTATGTGTGCATGAAAAAAAAAGGTGTGCATGAAAAGTTTTAAAATGGATGAGAAAACATGTACTGGGGGAACTTTTCCTATGTATCTCTCCTATCTCTTCTTTATTTTTCTTGTTTTTTTCCTTTTTTTGTTCTTTTCCTATATCCCTCTCCTATCTTTTTTTTTTGTATTTCCTTGTTTTTTTTTTTAATTTGTGAGATGCTCTAAAAATATAGGTTGGAGGTGCTGTGTAGCTCATATATATTCCTTGTGTGTTTAACTTTAAATTGAATCGCAGCTACAAAATCATGTGGGCGCTAGGGTCCAGAACAAAAAAAGGAAGTTTTCTTCTTGTGACAACTATTTATTATTATTATTTTGATCACAAACTACTTCATTAAAAATAAAAGGGTTGTCACAGAATAGTTTTTATAGTCAATAGTGGAATAGTTGTTGTTGTTCTCCTGTGACAACTATTCTACTATTGAATATAAAAAACGTGGGTGGCTTTTAAAGACCAACCAACAAGTCAGACTCTCTTTTCCCATGAACTCCTCCTACACACGCTTTGCCGATTCGGTGGCTTGGAAAATGTTCATTGCATGTGAATGCTCTAACCAAATATCCTAACAAAATGAATCGAGCAAGTAGAAGAAAATATTACCTGTGCCACACAAGCGACTGAAAACACAAAACAGGTGGAGACTAGATCATAATAGTTTTTGCATAACTACTCAAGAAAGCCTTTTAAGAATATCATCAATACCACCAACATAGAGGATATTTGTTTAAAACCACTACAACAAACTAGTACTTTGATAAGAGCTCAATCGGAAGATGGATACTGGTCAACAGAAGTTTTAAGATGATGAAGCTGAGAGAGAACGTATTGAAGCTTCTGGAAGCAGATCTCATTAGCGATTCTAGCATTGTAATCAGATTTCTCGAAGGGGCGGTACTCGCAGGCGCTTTTGATCTCTTCCCTTAGTGTCACTTGTATATCCTGCAAATTTTTGCACAATAATGTAAAAGCATATCTGTACATTCTTCAAAGATGAGCGAGAGTTCATGAATTATAGCTGAAATGTTTAAACTTTGTGATCAACTAGAGACCAAAGCAGGAATGATAATTAAAAAAAAACAAAACAAAAAGGGGGCTTTTACTTGTTCACGATTGTAATGATCCCTCTAATCTAGCCCCAAATGATAGTTGATCTCATAAATTATGTATGAAGCCAAATATTTCACACAATCAAAGATGAAACCTTTCATTGATCATTAATCAGGCAGCCGACGTCATAAATTAGACTAAACTGAACTCGGAATCAAAGCTCTAAAATAAAGGCCTTCACTTTAATCTAGAGAGTCTGTAACGAAGCCTGATACAACAAGACGTGAAATCCAATCATACACACAAACACTAAGGTAAAGCTCTACCATTGCAAAATACACCTAAAGCTAAAGAATTTATATGTAGGGAATGGGAAGAAGAGAGAGGGAGAGAGACCTTGATGGATTGCATGAACTCTCCGCAAAGAGTCTTGACGAGATCTTTCCTGGGACCAAGAGGGTTCGTCAGTTCTTCCATTACTCCTCCCGCTATATCCAACACCCTTACCACTCTCTGCCCTCCCAACCAAAACAAAGCACACACAAGATTCACATCAAATATGTCTATATCTTCCGAGATTATTATTATTATTAAGTGAGTGTGATTGTTCCCAGAAATATCCTCACCCTCTCCACATGCTGGAGTCGCTGCAACGAAGTGTTCTGCGTCTGCGGATCCATCAATCTCGAATGCTGAAGATCAGCGACGGAGAGTCGGCGGCAGGCTCGATCAATGAACAAGGTTGAGCAAAGAAGAGAGTGGAATTATTAGCACATGAGACGGCGCGCATTTTACTTCAACAATCCTAGAACATCGCGTACTTAATTGAAGATTACGAAAACACCCCCTTGTTTTAGATAAAATCTTTGTGATGCCCGTTTTTCTCTCTGTTATCAATAACGAGGATAAAAAACGAAAGAAGAGAGATACTCTCTCTCTCTCTGTTTACTACACAATGGCTCACTTCCTAGACCTTAACACTCTCACCATCAATTCACCGTCCATTCCCAAACTACTTGAGATCCAGAAAACCAGAATATCCAGCGGGTTTGTTTGCAGGAAAGCCGACAATGTTCAGGAACAGGATTCAGTACAGCTCACAAGACGGATGGCATTGGGATTTCCTGTCTCCATAGCTCTCACTGGAGCTTTCGGCGAGAGCAATGTCTCTTTGGCACAAGAAAACAATGGTTTTTGGATCGATGGTCCTCTTCCTACTCCTCCTATTTACAACAGTAAGCTAAGCCAGCAATCTTCTAATATCAATCTTTTGATGTTCTACTGAGTATCTGATAAGTTTGTCTTGATTCTTGAAAGCTTCTTTTTTTGTTGAAAAAGATGTTGATTTTGTCCTAACAAAATTGAAAGTATAACTTGTCAAGATGAGAACTAGTTTACATAACCCAAAAAAAAATAGTAGAACTTGCTCAATTTCCCGGTATAGTTAGCTCATTTTACAAACTTAACTTCGGTTTTGTTCCTCAGATATAGTGAACGAGAAGACAGGAACAAGAACGTTCTTGAAGAAAGGAGTGTATGTAGCTGACATCGGGGCCAAAGGCAGAACCTATAGAGTTAAAAAGTATGCTTTCGATCTCTTGGCTATGGAGGATTTGATCGGCCCTGACACTTTGAACTATGTGAAAAAGTACTTGAGGCTTAAATCCACCTTCTTGTTCTACGATTTCGACAACCTCATCTCTGTTGCTGCCTCTCAAGACAAGCAACCTCTCACTGATTTGGCCAACAGACTCTTCGACAACTTCGAAAAGGTATATATATATATCACAGTGTACTCCTCGAACCCAAACAAACTGTTTGTAACATATATATTCTTCTATTTTCTGGATACAGCTTGAAGATGCAGCTAAAAGGAAGAACTTAGCTGAGACTGAAGCGTGTTATAAAGATACAAAGTCGATTCTTCAAGAGGTTATGATCAGAATGGCGTGAAGAGGAGGCCAGTCTGGGTTCTAATAAACACCGTTTTACTCCCTCGCTGTTGAAGAGCTCTGATTCATTTGTTCATAACTCACTGGTCATGTAATGTTAATGTACAAGAGGGGACCCCCTATATATTATATTTTCTTCTACGCGTATGTGTTACTGTTTAGCAGGTTTCACTAATTCAAGTGTATCAACAACTTCAAAATTGCTTAAGATTGTGGAAAAGAAGAAGAAGAAGAAGAATGATATACTACTGTTGTTATTAAAAAGAACTGATATTGATAAATTAGTAGTATCATTAACGTGCTAATACACCTTCTTCCTTGAGTTACTTTACTCGTGATGCCAATGTGTGTTTTTTTTTTAATTATTTGGCTTTATTCTGAATGTCGCATATTTGGCAAGAAAGGAACCAATCAAGACGCTATGCTCGTTTTTGAGGTTAGTTTCCTATTCATATTCATTCTAAAGTTTTGATTTTTTTTTCACCTGAAGAAATGTTTCGTTTAATGTTTGAGTAAAGTTATTTGATTTCTTGCACATGTGTGTCTTGTTGCTTATCAAACGGATGGATATACAGAACATGTTGCGTTTCTCTTGTTCTTTAATGTTTTATTATAACTATTATTATATTTTCTGACACAACAACGGTAACTTATTATCAAAATTTTATTTAAAAAGTCTGATTTTCTCTCTCTCTCTCTATCCATTACAGATTTATTACAGCCTTTCAAACTTGTTCTTGTTATTAACAAAAAAAAGCAACTCTTTTTTGTTAATAAAAAAAAAACTGGTGCTTCCCTTGGAACACTGAGCTCGTCCTTCAGATGGACACGATCGAGTTCCCTCCTGTTGACTCTCTCTCAGTGAAGAAAGTCCACAAATCCAAGACAGAGACCTTTGGATATAGTGCTGCCAAGTGACGACTGTCTGAGAGTTCAATGACGAGTCCAAGAAGAAGCTGAAGACATCAACGAGTGAGCAAGCAGAGAACCCGAAAACAACAGCGACATCTACTCAAAGGACACATCACAGACTTTTTTTTGGAAGGTAAAGCATCTGGTTTCTTTACTACTGAAGTAGATTGTTGTCATGGCTTGTTAAAAAATGCTTTAGACACAGAGAGATGTAGAATAATGAATATGCTTAATAAATATGGTTCGATGCTTGATAAATACTTGAATATAGTTTGTTCTATAAATACTTAGTAAATACTTTTCTTTGGTTCGATGCTTAATAAATATGGTTTTCAGGTTCTGCTTATGACCTTGCAAAATGCTCCACCAGGGCTGGATTACGAAAGAGATAGGAAGTTTTCAAGGGTATATACTCTCTTGGTTTCAGTGAATACTTTTACATCCTGGTGAGATATTTTTGGCTTATTATCATCTCAGTTTTGTCCTCTTTTCATGGTATTTTCAGTCTTTCAAGCAGATGATTCCAAACGCCCATCTGCCAAAAAAATTGTTAAAGCATTCTTTTTTTAAGCAAGCAAGGTCAAGCGAACTACATTGCTTGGAAACTTCAGGCAATAAAGGTTGAATATAATAGAATTAAGTATATGTTTTTCAAAATTATCAACCATCATGTTATGAAAGAAGGGATGGTTATTTTTGTTTTCTACATACAGAAAAAGGAAGAAGATATGCTTGCACAAGAGAAAATGGCAGATGGAGAGAAGGAGGAACTGTCGCAGGTTTGTGTTTTTCTAGTTTTCTCTATCGATGTTTAACTTTCCAGTTCTAAATAATTTTCATGAGTATTTGGCCTTTTAATCTATTGTCATAGTGACATGCAGAATGAATATAAGAGAGGTATCAGTGGGTGGAATTTCAATCTCGATGACATGAAAGCCCCAGCCTCATTGGTATAAGTTTGCTCTCAAAGTAGCTATTCTCGAAATGTTTCCTTTCTCTATCCATGTTTGTTATTCTGTCGATGTTTAAGGGTTTTTTATTACCTAATCTCTGCTGGAGGATATTGGTCACCTGGCAAAATAAGCATCATCTCCAACCCCTAATTCACCGAACTCGGTATCTATTTTGTTCTCTGTTTGGGATTTTCATTTCCTTGTCTACTTATCTGGAACTAAGTATAGGTTTATAAACTGAACAAATAATATTTTGGTTGATCAGGGATAAATCTGAAGTCTTGCCAGCCCGAGTTATGATAACTACGTGTATTCCTCTCCCCGTCATGAGGATCTATCTTTAAATAATACAACAGTTACAAGTAGTGCGCATGCAAGTAATGGAAACCAATAGATTCCACAACTATTGCAACCAATAATCCAACAGAAATTCCAGCTAGCAATTGTGTCAATAAGGGAGACAGGTTAATAATCCCTTATCATGTACTCTGCTTTTGTAAGAGCTTTGTTTAACACACATTTTTAGTCTTATTGTTTAAACCGTACCTGCTTAAGTCTTTGAAGACCTGAGGTTCAATTTTCTTTGATTATAGACCAAAAAAACTTACTTCAACACTCATATTCACATGTACTCTGTATGTGAGATTAAAAGCTAAAATGTTTTAACTCCCAGTGATAAAACCCAAGATCAGCTTCAAAATGGGGCACATCCTACGCTGGGAGGAGATGAAGTACCACCAGAGATGGCTGTTAAACCACCCAAAGCAGCAAGTAAGTATATATATGTTTGAATCCAATCTGTGTATCAGTGCTTTTTCTAATTAATTAAATGCTGAACTGGTCTCAGCGAGCCTAGATGAATCTGACGACAAATCAAAGCCGCCAGTTGTGCAGCAAAGAGGACGTTTTAAAGTAACTTCTGAAAACCTCGACATCGACAAGGTAAACTCACTCCATTTTCATGGTTTAAAGAGGGAAAAACCGGTTTATTTGTTTGGATCTTTCCTGATACACTGAGACTCTTTCCCTGTTCATAATTTTTGCTTAAACTATTGGGTTGTTGTAACTTATAGATGTGGATGGTTACAATCAAGTTATGTTTACTTTTTTGCAAAGTTAGAAACATTTAATCAAACCAACAAACACTTGATGGAACATTTGCGGTCAATGTTTGCTATATAGGAAACATGCAGATGTGGCACTAAGGTGTATTATACACCGTGTATGCAAGCTCTTGCCCGACTAGTCCAAGCTCATTGCTCCTTCAGATGGACAAGAGAACCATCTGAGCAAAAGGATGATGGATTATCCATGCTAAGCAAGCTGAGGTAATGACATGAAGTTTTGAGATAAACTGGGACTTGCTAAATTTAGAAACTTTGCATGATGTTTTGTGTAGATGGGTTGGTGTGACAGCAACCCATAAAGTGTAAAATGAAGTGAGAACAAAATGAGGCAAGGAGCAAGAATCAAGAAGAGAGAGCTATGGTATATGCACTCACACACCAGGCAGGTATAATGGGTCCAAAAGTTTTAAAATTAACTCTCTCTCTCAAAGACATCTGTGTTTACTGAGTTTGTCTATATTTTGATAGCCGAGGAGGACATGTCCAAGTCCAAACGCTAAGGCAACCAAACAAGGGAGTGTGGCGCCTTCTCTCAGGAAAACAATCAACAAGGTATGTTGGTCGAATTAAATTACATTATTAGCATTTACAACTTTATTTCTGTAATCAACTTACTGCATTTTTTGAATTCAAATTTTTTTCTCTGTAGGTGAGCTTCACAGGAAGTAAAAAAAATGGAATCCTCTTTCTTCAGCCGAGTAAGGTATGGAATACTTTTTCTTCTCTGTTTTTTTTTTTTTTTTTGGGGAAATTCTATATATTATCAGACTGATAGACACTAAATTTTCATAATTTGTAAAACAAATAGAATGCGGCGTCCAGTCTTTGATTTGTCCGTTAAGTTTTGATTTGTCTTTACACATTTGTTATTTGGTCACTCAAAACCAGTAACCGTGATTGTCTAGATAAGCGGTACCGTGATTGTCTAGATAAGCGGTATCGTGATTGTCTAGATAAGCGGATTGGTAGACACTAAATTTATAGTGTGTAAAACAAATAGAAATGCAGCGTGCAGTCAATATGTCCGTTAGAGACGTTAAGTTTCATTATTGTCTTTACATTGTCATATTTGGTCACTCAAAACCAGTAACAAATTCTAGTTTTTTGGATTGGTAGACACTAAATTGATAATGTGTGAGACAATAGAAATGCAGTCATTTGCCTTTATACACTTTGTGATCATTTAGTCAGTCAAAATCAGTTTGGTAATTAAGAGTTTCCCCATTCGTATTTTTGTTTGCGTGTTTCTTGTTTTTTCTGTTTTCGTGTATGTCAGGTTAGGAATCAGTGATGCTGCGCTATGGAACTTGACGTTGAAGGCTTATCTGGATATGTGTTTTTAAAGAAGATGNTTTTTTCTGTTTTCGTGTATGTCAGGTTAGGAATCAGTGATGCTGCGCTATGGAACTTGACGTTGAAGGCTTATCTGGATATGTGTTTTTAAAGAAGATGCTGTCAACCTTATCTTCTCAATTCCAGACAAGGTATATGTGTTAATAGTTTATCATTGATTGTATGGTACTGAAATTAGGAACTTAAGATAGTAGAGAGATTCAGCAAATGGTTGTGTCATTTGTATTACTAGCTTAAGTCGTTCAGGTTTGGTTGTGATCTCTCTCTTAAGTTCCTACTTGATTACTTACTTGGGATAGTTTTTAATGTTTCTACTTTTTCAGGGAAGAGTAGTTAGTTGGGCATGTATGTGCTCATTAGCTGAGCTTTGTAGAACCGTGGAAAGCCTTTCATATGGCGACAATGTTCCACATGGTCTAAACAGCGAGATCTTAGTTTCAAAGCTGAAAACACTCGTCGCTAAATTATTTGCTGATGTATCTGTGATAAGTTGCGAGTGATGTCATTTGGCTTCACTGTGCGTTGACAGGTTCAGATACTCAACCAACGCAGAGTGTTTGCAGCAATATCAAACCTGGTAATCGTCTCTCTCTCTCTCTTGTCTTTGAATTTTTGAGATTGAAAGATGATAAAGCTGATTTTTTCTTTTTTTAATACGTTAGGGGCTTTTCTTCTTGTAAAACACTGGAAGCTGCCAGCTGCTGGATGAAACTATAGCTGTGAAACAACTTGTGATTGATGGCACTATCTATAGCTGGCTGCGCTCTTGAAGGTCCTCAATGGATGGGAAGCTTGGGTATGGCTTCTTTCCCTTGTCACTTGATCATCTCCTCTCTTTCTGCTGTTATTTATGTATCCAACTCTTGTGTGTCTATCTTGCATTCCTTCTTCTTAGATAGGAAAGTGACGAAGAAGAAGAATCACCTATGAGGCATGAGAAACTAGCATTAGTTGAATCCACCAGCACCAAAACCGTTCCTATGGAATTCTGAGCCCTGGTCAGAAATCAAGTTTGGATCAATGCTTCAACATAAGCTCTGATACCAATTCAAATCTCTAGAAACACAAAGGATTATAAGAACAACTTTTCTTATTAGCTTTAGAAACTACTCAAAACTAAAGCTTACAATATGTTTCTCTTAGATCATATATCTACTCTCTTAGATCTTATGGAACACCTCTCCATAGATATCTATTTATATGCAAGATAATTCCCTTGAACATGTGGGATATGGAAAACACAAACCTAATCTAATAGAAAACTTCCTTTTCCTATTTCTAGATTTCCTTATTGTGTTTATCCTTAACATATTAAACATCCAGCAATATGTTAAGTTTCTACAAGCTTGGAATTACCCAACATTCACCCCCTTAATTCCAACTTGAATTAGGGAGATCAATTTCTTGAACTCCGATTAAGCTCCTCATTTCCTTGAACTTAATCCTCAAGTAATCATCCATCACCACACGATAGTATGCGAATCCACCCATTGTATTCACATCTTTCTCAATGTTAGACTGGATGCTTTCCTCACTTTTGTATCGCCTCTTCTTAGAATTGGCCCAGTTATTGTAGAACCTTCTCCTGACTTCTTCACTTAAGTTGCGACGAGTCTTGCAGCTGAAACTCGCTCTGGTCTCGTCCGCCATCTTGCGTACGTGAGTTGTGTTACACACTTCCGTCTTTGTGTCACATACGTGAGTTGTGTTACACGTCTCCATCTGTGTATCACATACCCCTACATGAGTTGTGTTACACGTTTCCATCTTTGTGTTACATACCTCTGTATGTTTAACACCAGCCGGTCTAACCACATACTCCACTGGTACATGTGTTGTAACACACGCTTTCATATGTGTGTCACACATGATTCCTTGAGCACTTATCTCTAGTTCGTCTCCAGCTTTTGACAACTTGTAACTTGACTTCATTGGAACTTGAGTCGAGTTACACACTTCCATATCTGTGACACACAAGATTCCTTGAGCAGGACTCTCCTCCTTTATCTTGATTCCATCTGCTCCTTGAATCTTATAGATCCACTTTAACCATGTAGGTTTAGAAGGCGGTCTATCTACAAGCTCCCACGTCTTGCTGCTTGTGATATCTTCCATCTCGGCTACAAGCTCCCACATTTTGCTTCTTGTGATAGCTTCCATCTTGGCTACCATAGCTTCAACCCATAAGTAGTTCGGCATCTTCAACTTAGCTGAGGTAAACTCTCCTCCTCTATCGATGCAGCTTAGATTATACTTGGCCGAGGCAAAATCTCCTCCTCTACCGGTGAAACCAATATTGACCTTAGCTGAGGCAAACTCTCCTCCTCTATCGGTGAGAAAGGTTCTGATGGGTTCCTTCAACCTTTTGAACCGATCGAATACCTCATGCTTCTTCTTCAATAGTATAGCTGGGAATTCATGTCTAATTTGCTTCTCTGTTAGACATGTGTTACACACGCCATCTTCGTGTGTTACACTCAGGAATGAGTGTCTATTTTGCTTCACTGCGTCACACACGCCTTCTTCGTGTGTTACACTCGAGAATGAGTGTATGATATGCTTCACTGTGTCACACACGCCTTCTTCATGTGTTACACTCGACATTCTTTTGACTAACGTCTGAAGTCTCACCCTCCTTACACGAACAGCTCGAAGGTGTCGTGACCTGATGGCGTTACATATGTCTTTAGAAGCGGCTTGTTCTCCCACCTGGAAAATCAAGCTTTCGGATGCTACTTGTTCTCCCACCTGGAGAATCAAGTTTTCGGAAGCGGATTGAAATAAAAGAGCAAACGCAACATTGTTCTTCTTTTCATCATCCGAACCAGGTTCTATCGTGTCACGTACTTCATGAACACGCATCATAACCTTCATCCTCATCGTGCGTGGAGCCCTAGTCACGTCCGCCATCTTGCTCGCGTGTACTCTTGGTCACAAGCACCAGGATCAAAGCTTCAACTTAAGCTTAGATCGAGTCTCCAACCTGAAGAGCTCTGATACCAATTCAAGTTTGGATCAATGCTTCAACATAAGCTCTGATACNGATCTTATGGAACACCTCTCCATAGATATCTATTTATATGCAAGATAATTCCCTTGAACATGTGGGATATGGAAAACACAAACCTAATCTAATAGAAAACTTCCTTTTCCTATTTCTAGATTTCCTTATTGTGTTTATCCTTAACATATTAAACATCCAGCAATATGTTAAGTTTCTACAAGCTTGGAATTACCCAACAAGAAACACACGTTTCTGTTCTTTCTCAAGGCACTGCCATGAAACCTGAAGATCGACGCAGCAGATGATGGGGTAAGAAAACCAAAAAGAGGCAATTAAGTTCACAGCAAAAAGCAGAGGGTTCCTCAGGATTACATGAACAAAGTCGAAGAGATTATACTGCTATGAGTGACACGGAACGGAAGATGTATTAAGTTCCATTATCGCATATATATATATATAGAAACAAAGTAAACCTTTTTGTCTCTTTCATCTTCGTTTTTTCATCGCTTGTTGTGGGGGTATATATAGTCGAGTCGGGTTTTAGTCCTTGAGCCACATGCATTTGTTTTCTCAAGTCTGTATGTTGTTTACCTTTGTGTAGAAAGAAAGAGTTTGATTTTGTTGTGGCTGCCAAATTCTGAAGTTTGTGTGTTTTGGTTCCTCCTTCTAAAGCAAAAGGTAACATAGATACTGCATTAGGCAGTGTATATGTTTCGTTTTGGCAATTCACACGTTATGATAGCTAGGAAACGGCGGTTTAGGTATTTCTTGGAATGGAACGGTGGCTTAACAGGTGGATGAGCCGATACATGTAGAAGACTAACTAAACTAATTTGGATGGAATTAGTTATAAGTTTAAAAACCGCTCTTTAGACATTAACTGATGATTTGTTCAAAAAAAAAAAAAGACATTAACTGATGTTATAATGCAAACTTCGATTCTTTATAAATCTTCTCTCTGACTTTATAAAAACACATATAAATACCGTGTGGAATTGCGGAATTACACAACAAATTATGCAGGGTTACGTCAACATGACAGTAATTTGATACAAACATAGGCACATAAACATTATAAATAGAGGGATTAGTAATGAAATTTCAAGTCCAGCCCCAGTATCCAAATGATTCACCACCTTGCACAAAGACGTCAGCGAAACAGCTCCGGTCATTATCACTACTGCCGTTGTTGTTGTTATTGTTATCTTCCTGCAAGTGGTGAACTGGTACGATGCTGGGGAAGTAAGAGTCGCAGCTGTCTAGTAGTTGAGGTGCGTTTTCGTCTAGTACCGCACTCCCAACACTCCCTGAACTTAACCGTTCCTCTGTTTTGATTGCCGGTTCGAGCTGGTTTGATTCGGGAACTTGAACCGGAGCTGTCTCTTCTTTGGTTTGGACCTTCTCGGCGAGGGAAGACACCTGTGTGGGACACGTAAAAGAGAGAGAGAGAAAGATTCTTACAACCTTTGTTTAATCACAAACAGTCAGTCAACACAAGCAACCTCCCTCCCATAAGAAGAAGATAATAAAAGTAAATTCGTTGATTGATTTGATTCCCAATGTTGTTTCTTTTTTTAGTTAATACTATTATGCTCTCCCCTGATTGTATTTTGTAAAAAAAGAAAAAAATGAAAAGCATATTTCTTTCTTTTCTCAGTTGATGCTTTTTCACCTTTGGACCAATAAGGCATAGATATTGATTCACTAATCAATCTGAACTTAATTCTCCATTTGCATGCATATGATACTGAAATTAAAATGGGGGATATGATAATAAAGTACCTCGGATCTGAGGGATTGGTTGTCCTTGAGGATGGAGTCGTAGTTAGAGAGGAGTTGGTCGTAAGAGGACTTGAGAAGATTGAAGTCTCTTTCGAGCTGCTTTGTCTTCCAACGAGCACGGCGGTTCTGAAACCAGACGGAGACTTGCCTAGGCTGAAGACCGAGCTTCTTGGCAAGCTGAGTCTTACGCTCTGGCTCCAACTTGTTCTCCGTCTCAAAGCTTTTCTCCAGCAGATGCACCTTCAAAATCCCATCATAATATATATATATATATAAGAGAGACAGTGGTTGATTTTACAGAGGTAACAAAAAAAGGAAACCTACCTGTTCAAGTGTAAGGCGACGCTTTTTGTCAGGCATCTGCTCGTCGTAATAGTCCTCGTCGTAAAGATCCTCGGGCGAGCAAAAGAAGGGTCTTCTCTTTGATGATTCCTCCATGTTCATCATCGATCCTGCTCCCAAAAAAAACATATGAGAAAATTTCACAAAAGTCAAAGATCCTCCATTAAAAAAAAAAACAGAGAAATGAGTGAGAAAAAAGCTAACCTTGGAGGACGGGGTTAAGATTACCAAGGAAGAAGATGTTGCCATGAGAGGCAGACGGATCGAAGAAAAACGAATTGGATTCCATCGATTAATTAAAAAAAGGAAGTTTTGAAACAGAGAGAGAGAGGATCGGGTTGAAAGCAAAGCAAAGCAAGAGAAAGATGGATGAAGCTAGGCGAAAGGAAAAGAGAGAGAAGGAGGATTATGGATTAAAAGATGATGATCTTATGGCGGAAGAAGCTTGTACTCCACAGTAATCTCGCCGGAGACTCCAACTGACATATGCAAAATCCCATCATCAACCGCGCAATACCCCCAGCAGGAGGAGGGGACGACAGATCTATACAAAACAAAACAAAAATAGTGAATACTTTCTTTTCGTTTAAAAATATGGTTACTTCGCTTTTAGAATTATTATCAGATCATCTTTGTTTAAGTGATAGAGAGAGAGAGAGAGAGTTTTCGCTTAGTCTTCGGCTTTGCTCTGAAGCGCGCTCTTTTTTATACCAGAATTCGTCCTTGTGTAAATTACTCTGATACCCTCTGCTGCTTCTATGACTTCATACTTAAATTCAGGGGCCTTTCTGGTAGTTCAATGTTATTTGGGTTTTACAATTTTTGAAGTGGACTTTCCTGAGCTTGGTGTGGTCCACTTTTTAGCGAGTGGACTAGGAAACTCATCTGGACCGTTGGATCTGAATATACCTTTTGTATTTATTTTGTTAAACAATAAAATATGTTTTTTTTATATATTCATTCAGATGTGGCCTGTGGTGGTTCCGCCAGAGTGTGTTAAATAGGTTGCATGCTCGACGGTCGGCTGCGTGTCGGATCTGCCCCCTTAATCTGAATCAATCTAACAGTCATCATCATCCTGTGATTTTTCATTTTTCCACTGTCTTGTCACCGTATCATCCATTCTTTATAAAATTCATTCACTTGTAATCGAATTCACGTCACTCCCATTTTTTTTTCTTTTTTAATCTTGTTGCATCTTGCATTACTCTTTTTTGTTGTTGTTGAACAGAACAGCTTGCAGTAGTCTTTCACATATTAATGACCTTTCTGACTTTTAATAAAATTACATTTAAGGTTAAGAAATAAGCATTGTAGTTAAATGCTTTAAATGGATCTAAGAAGTAAAAGAAAAAGCACGCAACAATCAAATATTTATCAATGAAAAAGAGAAGAAAAAAAAAACAAGACTAGGTGCAATGGAACTGCTCATGGCCGCATAATCTAACTGAGCTAAGAAAATATTAGGATATTGCTTTTATTATACAACATATCCATTAGTTATTAGCTTATTGTGTTAACACAAGCCCCTACGCAGCCTCGCCTTGTCTTTTGGTTTCCATGATATTGCTTTGTTTTGAGGAATTTCCCTCGGTTATTTTTACTATTTCAGGATCATGTTTTCAATGATGTAAAGTAGTGCAGTAGTTGATACTAACATGATGTGTAATGGGTTACATTTGACATGAATTTAATTTTCCTCGTTCGTCTTCATTAACTTAATTCTTCTCGACTCTTCAGCTTCCCAAAATCCAAATGCTCACTATATAAGGGTGCTTATATGACTTTATTATATATGCATACATATAACTCATATATATATATATAAAGGTGTGTATACTTTTTCTTAATATGCATGCATAATTGCATATAGTTGATCAAGAACAAAGCCATTCGAATTTATAATAGCTTGTTACGCTAATGTAACAGGAGTTAGGGAAAATATGATTAGCTACGACATATTGTCTCCTTCCATGCATGTGTAGCCAACTGGATACCAATGAACCTTTCCAATAGAGGAGTAGAATAAAAGAGGGTTAACCTTAGCTTTAAAAATAAAATAAAAAGTGTATCAAATTGTTTTGAAAGATGAGGAATTTGCCAATCTGCCAAGGAATGGGGTTCTCACTTCTCCCCCAAAAGATAACAGTCTTACTCTTATACATTTCTAAAATATAATGGGAAAATTCGTATTCAGTATAGTGTATACTTCTTCGCTCTAAAAGGTTATCGATTAAATCCAATAGTTTAGTATGTTGCGTTTTTATTTATATATTTATATTAATGCACACATGTAAGCTTGGAAATTATTTTTTTTAATTGACAAGAAAACAAATTAAGTCCACAATTCTTTTTAAAAAATCAGAATTGTACAGCACTTAATTTCCTTCTGAGAACGATATATTCATTTTCATTTATCACAACCGATTAATGGTTCATGTTTCTTTTTGGTATGTTTTAATATCATCCTGTGTATGCGTAAAAGCACATAGGTGTGTGAATGATCACTAATCAATATATTTGCAAAACAATTAATTTAAATGGTAAGCTGACTCCTAATATATTATTATTCAAAGAAGAATCCTTGAAATGTACAATTAACATATAATGAATGTCATCTCGATACAAAACAATCAATAACAAGTTTTTACATTATTATGGCATCTTCATCTCATGCAAATAGTACCACAAATAAGGATCGATTTTTCTTTATTTGTATTGTCTTCACAACTAAGCTAAGAGGCCATGATATGGTGGCATCTTTTTCGTTGGATAGTGTCTTCTTAGTTTCTCCTTTCCATATATCCAAAAATAGGGGACTTTTTCCTTTAGCCTCTTTTGTTTGCTTTACCGAAAAAGATGATTGGCATAAATAGTCCAAGTAAAATTATATAGACCATAAAACAAGAATATTGAAAGAAAATATCAATTTTGATATATTGACATGAATTATCGTTGCAAATAAAATGTATAAGAAGAACACACATTATGTTTGTAGTAGTGGGTCGACTATGAATGATCTATTTTCAATTTGTCCTGCGAGAGTATCCGATGAAAATTAAAACAGTTTATTCTCTATTTTAGAGTATAATTAAGTAACGTGTAAACAAATTTAGATTCGGAAAAGATGGCCACAAAAAAAGAAGATGAAGCTGAACACCTGAGACTAAAAACAACGACTTTAGAACATAGGTATGGTAGTGGATTAGTATCGCCATGTGTATGGTTCTGTGAAAAGGTCTTAGCACCATTCGTATTTTAATAGTTTCCTCCACTATCTTATTTCTTTCTTCTTATTCTAATTTATAGAAAACTTAAATAGCAGATAAAATTAAAGATACAAATAAAATCTTTAATTGGAATCGTTACAATGTGTCATGGTATTCATAGTAGCTTCTCTTTTAGGGCCAGTGTCATTTTTGTAAAGAGAAAGGATATAATATTTAATTTATAAATTAAGTATATTCAGTCTTTTCGATTGAGAAAGTGTATTGATCTTGATTATGAAGATTATTATGATTTGAGTATTTCACATTTCGCTGTATGGGAATAGTGAGTGAAATTCAACTTTTCATCTCAAGCCCACACACGTATACACATATTTATATATAGAGAGTTGAATATATAGATATGTCATATAGTACAACAGTACATGACAACACCTTCCATATATGTACGTCCAGTACATAAACAATTTTTTTAGCAGAGCATGTATTATTTGTTAGTTTTTAAATATATCTATATATGTAGCCATTTATCTTTAAAATTGTTAATTAAATATTTTTGTGGAGAACTGAACCCTAACACTAAATCGGAATTACAATATAACTCACTGAGCCACTACGTAGTATTACCGTGTGTGTGTGTTTAATAGGATGAAAGGAAGTACAAGGGAGGATGGATCTTTAAGTTATATCATCAACTCATCAAATCTGTCGTATTTAATTAAAGCATGACAAGATAAAGTAGCTACATAATCAGTTCCCTTACGTACGATAAGAAAGAAAAGAAAAAACTAATTCGTGTGGGTTGACCTCAAATGTATATATTGGACGTAAGATGCTACATCATAGTCCCCCAAGTCCAATAGATAAGTTGCAAAAAGTTATAGAAACCTAAATAATTTTCGAGTTATAATAGTAGTCAATAGGTTAAATAAGCTAAAGATAAAAAAAAAAAAAGAATCAATGGGCTAACTATGAAAATGCAAATGTATTGGGCCGAATAATGAAATCAGATGAGATAAAAGGCCCATATACACACACACACAAACAGACGACAAAAAAGAAAAGAATCGGAAGGTAATCTTATCGGGAGAAGTAGAGTCATAAACATCTTATCCTCTTTTCATTATCATCAACTCCTTCTCGTTTTTATTCAAAATCCGACAACAAAGACATCAGACATTTTTTTTTTTTCTTCGGACAAGAAGAAAAATTCCATAGTCTAATGTCGGTTCATCATTGAAAATTACCATCATCTCTTTTCAAACTACATATCGGTAATAATCTCCAATGGCGGCGGCATCATTTGCCTCTCTGCCTACATTTAATTTCGTCAATTCGTCCAAGTTTCCGAGAAGAAGAATAGATTCCAAAAAGCCTGTGGAAGTAGTTCGTTGTAGCATTCCCGAAAATAAGCAGGTATTGCTTAGAGTTTTTGTTGTTGTTGTTGTTGTAAGAAGTGGATTTGACAGTTTTTAAACGAAAGGGGGCATTAGACTTTAATTGGTAGATCAACCAAACCAATGTGAGGATATGTATGTTTGAAAATGCAGAGAGGAAGGGGGACATTGAAAGAATGTGCGATTTCGTTAGCTTTATCGTTGGGTTTGATAGCTGGAGGAGCACCTTCCATTGTTTCCCCTCCTATCAGTGCTGCTTACGCAAACCCAGCGATTCCAGACGTATCAGTGTTGATCTCTGGTCCTCCCATAAAAGACCCAGGAGCTTTGTTGAGATACGCATTGCCTATCGACAACAAAGCCATCAGAGAAGTTCAGAAGCCTCTTGAGGATATCACTGACAGCCTCAAGATTGCTGGCGTTAAGGCTCTCGATTCTGTTGAACGGGTAATTACCTTCTTTTTTTTTTTTTGTGTGTGTGGTTGGAACTACTCTCCGAGAAACTTGAGCATTTTATTTTCTTGTTTTGTCTTCATTGTAGAATGTGAGGCAAGCAAGTAGATCACTGCAGCAAGGGAAAAGCATGATTGTGGCGGGTTTTGCTGAGTCTAAGAAGGATCATGGTAACGAATTGATTGACAAGTTGGAAGCTGGTATGCAAGATATGCTACAGATTGTGGAAGATCGGAAGAGAGATGCGGTTGCTCCTAAACAGAAAGAGATTCTCCAATATGTTGGCGGGTGAGTTCTCTTTTAGAGAAAAAGGAGAGATAATTCAAAAAGCAGAGATGGTTTTGGATTAGTAAGGAAGTGAGATATATTTTTGGCTCATTTAGACCCACCCCCCTTCTTGATGTACTGCAGCTGAGATCTTCCTGTCCTGTGGCGCTCTGTCTGCAGAATAGAAGAGGACATGGTCGATGGCTTCCCTTATGAAGTCCCTGAAGAGTATAGGAACATGCCTCTTCTCAAGGGAAGAGCCACTGTCGACATGAAGGTCAAGATCAAGGACAACCCTAACCTTGAGGAGACTGTCTTCCGCATTGTCCTCGATGGTTACAACGCCCCTGTTACTGCCGGCAACTTTGTGGATTTAGTGGAGCGCCATTTCTACGATGGCATGGAGATCCAGAGATGTAAGACATATCATCAAACTTGCCTTTGATATATGGGGAATGTTGGTTGATTAATGGATGTTATTTTTTTGTTGTTGTTGTTGGCAGCTGATGGGTTTGTGGTACAAACGGGGGATCCAGAGGGTCCTGCGGAAGGATTTATCGATCCAAGCACTGAGAAAGTGAGGACTGTTCCTCTTGAGATTATGGTGGAAGGGAAGAAGACTCCCTTTTACGGCTCAACCCTTGAAGTAAACAAAGCCTCACACCACTACTCTCTCTCTCTCTCTCTCTCTCTCTTGGCAAGTATTCATAATAATTAACTTGGTTCATTTGGTTGGGACAGGAATTGGGACTGTACAAGGCTCAGGTGATGCTTCCTTTCAACGCTTTTGGGACAATGGCAATGGCTAGAGAAGTGAGACACTTCTTTCTCTTCTTTCCGTCCTTCCTTTATCACATTTTGTAATCATAATAAACATTTTGTAAAATGCAAAAACAGGAGTTTGAGAATGACTCAGGATCAAGCCAAGTGTTCTGGCTGCTAAAAGAGAGTGAGCTGACGCCGAGCAATTCCAACATTTTGGACGGTCGCTACGCTGTTTTCGGTTACGTGACTCAGAATGAAGACTTTCTGGCTGATCTGAAAGTCGGTGATGTCATTGAGTCCATTCAAGTTGTCTCCGGTTTAGACAATCTCGTCAACCCCAGTTACAAAATCGCCGGTTAGTTCCTTCCTTCAAACTTTGTCGTTTCCCTTTGGCTCTCTTTAATCTGTTTAAGTTTTTTTTCATATCTTTGTGAGAGAAATTATAAAGGCGTATTGTCCGCCTATGAATACTATTGTTACTTATCAACAATTGTAACTTAATTGTCTCTTTTTTCTTAAAAAAAGAGCTGTATGAGTTGATATGTATGACTATACTTTAAACAAAGGAAGAGCACTAGTTGCGTATTTGTAGTTACGTTTTGTGTGCATGTGTTATGTGTTGAAAACGTATGAAATGATCGATTCAAAAATAAGTACGACATTCATCCTCCAAAATGGGGGAAATAAAACAACACACACACATAGCTTAGCTAGCTAGCTCCACATAGTATAGCTAAATAATATTATATCCCTTAATTAACTCTCTCTACTTCCAAAATAAAAGAGCAGTTAATAGTAATGAGACGTGTTTTAAATGATCATATCATGGGCCTCGCTTTCGCCGGAAACAGAAGCATCCTTGTTGTTGATCTGGAGGAATCATTCCTCCGCCCTTTGAAGTATCGATAGCCTCCAACATAGCCACCGCTTCCTCCATCTCCGGTCGCTTATCCGGATTCGCATCCCAACATCTCTTCATCACGTTCGCCAGCGCACTCGGACAACATCTCGGTATCTCCGGTCTCAAATTCTAATTACATCCATGTATATATATGACTTCTTTTAGATAATTATAAAAAAAAGGGACTACGGAAAGGGTAGATAGAAACGTAATATAAAAAGGACCTGGCGGACGACGGCAGAGGTAACTTCAGAGAAACTGAGATCAGGATAAGGCATGTCGCAGCAGTAAATCTCCCAAAGACATATCCCGAAGCTATACACATCGCACTTTCTGTTGTAAGCACTCCCATTTAACACCTTGTTTTTTTTTTTACATTAATCATTTTAGTTCATCATCATGAATTGATACTAATTAATTATCATTATTGAAATGAAGAACGTACCTCGGGAGCCATGTAGCCCAAGGTTCCGGTCTCACCGGTCATGTCATTAGGGTTGGATGCCTCCAGACGCGCCACCCCAAAATCTGCAATCTTTAACGTCCGAGACTTGTCTAAAAGCATGTTCTCCGTTTTCACGTCTCTATGCACTATCTTCTGCGAGTGCAAGTAACTCAACCTAATAATTAATTAATTGTCAAGAAATAAATATATTTAAACTATTGCAATAAAATCATACACCAAATTTATGTAAATATATATACCCTCGAGCTAGATCAAGGGAGAGTTGGATAACGACTTTGAAGGCGAGTTTGCGGCGGCGACTTTTGATGAGGAAAGACTTGAGAGCACCGCCGGGGCAATACTCAACGACTACGCAGCAAACGTTACTCGGCATTCCCATGTGACCGTTTTCCGTCTGAATGCTCAGCTCTGATGTCCCCATCGCCGCTCCTATAAACTTTTTATATTTCCCATTCACACACACACAAACAAAACACAAGTCAAGTATTAATCACTCGTAATTAAGTTCAATATAATAAAGACGTAGTGACCTTTGTTGTATTAATTAAACAGAGACATACACGTATACCCTACGTTATATATATGTGCATGTTGGTATGAGCTAATTAAGAGTGAATATTACTCCCTCCGTTTTACTTTAGTTGTCGTTCTAAGTTTTTGCAAACAAATTAAGGAAATATTTAATTTATATATTTTCAAGATAAAAATACAATTACCTATACACCTAACAACTTTTCAACCAATAGAAAAATATAATATTATATAAAACTAATAAATTTTGTCTCGAAACTCTAAAACATACTTAATTTGTGAAAAAAATAAGTATAGAATAACATATATTCTGAAACGGAGGGAGTACTTCGGTTCATTTAACTTGTGAAAGACTATTTATTAGCAACTAATATTATGCGCTTCAGTTTAGTTAGTTTCAGTTTGATATTGGTTCAAATGTCCACCTGCAGTAACAAGATATAGGGCATAAGATCGTAAGGGGGTAGGTACCTTGGTGACATTGGGATGGTCAAGCTTATGCCAAACAGCAACTTCTTGAGTGAAAGCAGCTCTTAGCGAAGCTATCTCAGCGTCTGACCTGTGTCCCTCTTCTCCCCAGTCTAGTAGCTTCACTGTTTTTATTTTTAATAAAATAAAATATTTTTATTTATTTATTACCGATATTTAATTTCACACATAAGTTCATTTCTTTGTTTTTCTATGTTAATTGTGGGATAAGAAAAAGAGAAGGGAAAACATGAGTTTAATTTCCATGACACTAGGTCATGTTTTCTTTACTTTATCACTTGATTAAGAAATCTTAATTAGAGAAATTTATAGAATATAAACAAAAACTATAAAGTACAAACCGAGTGGGAGAGAGAGAGAGAGAGATTGTACCGGCGACATCTAGACCATCATAGATACCACGGTGCACAGTACCAAAAGTACCTCGAGCAATCACACTTTTGACAATAAGCTTGGAAGGATCAATCTCCCACTCTCTCCTCGACCTCCCCACCTCTGTGGTTAACCTAGTTATGTCGTTGTTATAGCTGTTGTTATATCCACCACCGAGAAGCGGTCTCTGAAACACAAGCTGACGATGTCCAAAGTTGTTTTGGTTATATTTATTATCAGCGTTATCTTCACCATCACTCAAGCTCTTCCTCTTCTCCATCGTCCATGCTCTGCTTAAGTGTCTCTGCAATTGCTCGTCCAAACTCTTTAAATCTATCTGATCCGCTCTCACGTATCCTCCCCCTCCTCCACTCTCCGCCTTCTCCTTCATTTTCTCCGGCAAAACTAAATCCTAATTTACAAGAGAGTCGAAAACTTTTTTTTGTTTGCTTGCTTCAGATTATTTTATTGTATTTTCTGGATGCATGGGTTGTGAATTGTGATTGGAGTGCTAACCCAAAAAAAAAAAAGAGAGTAGAAAACGGGGAAGTTGTGTTTGTGTTTATTGCAACAAACAACTAAAGAAGAGGCTCACTCTCTCTTCCTCTCTTCTTATCTGTGATGAGACTTCTCGGAATACTTCATACTCAGCTTTCTTTTAAGACAAACAAACGTTTACACGTGACCACATGGGGTGTCCTTAACAGGCTAAGACTCGACGTGTGTCGGCTCCACTTCTCACAATTATTTTTAATGGATAAACGCACACTTTTGTTTTTATCCAGACTAAACTCATCAAACCAATGTTTAATTTGATTTCAGTTAAGATCCACTGTGAAAACTGAATAGTGTAAGAACCTTTATTACTTTGATATAGTTTGATGTCATCTTATTCAACACATTAAGTCTACAAGACTCAGGGTCTGTCCTTGGGCCAATCTATAGAAACAGCTGCTTCCGGCCGATGCATTTATTTAAAAAATTCGACCACAAATTAACAAAATAGTTATTTAGTCTAATGGTGCGGTTAAGAGGAAATAGATTTGCTGCGCGTAACCCGGCTTCGAAACTCCTCTAGTTAGAATTTTTTTCTTTTTTTTTTGTTTGAAAAGTGGCCATTTTTTTGGTTTTTGCTTCTGACCTTATTTAACATAGAACCGGCTCTAATAAGACCAAACTGTTTCCTAAGAAAAATAACTTGGGGTGTTAAGTAACCCTATATATAAATGACCAGTTTAGAAAGATATAATATAATATGTGTGAAAACTAATCTAGATTAAGAACATTTGTACATAAAATATAAAATATACATAATATCAGTGAGTGTATATATATATATAGTTCATGAATTCATGGGATTCAGGGTCACTTCGCCACCTTTCCGTTGAACTACTGCCTTTTTGTGTGTGTATTTTTCTTTGTTTTAATTTGCCATTTTCAAATATGTAACGTAACTGTTAGTAAAATATTTTTAAATGGACTGATTCGTTTCTTTTTTTTATCCTAGTTGTAACAGATTCGTTTCCTCAGATACTAATCCACCAGATGTCGGCCCGGACAAGCAAGGTGGCTGGAGGGAGGTTGAAGAAGAAGAGAGGGCAGATCAAAAATTAGTGCGAACCCCAAGTGAGGAAGTACCTTGGTGTTTTTTTCTTTTGGAACACGTACCTTGTGGTTTAAATAGATAAATCTGGGACGTATATTTTTGTTGTTTTTTATGAATGTAGGTGTTTTTCTCTTCCGTGCTTGAACTTGATTATGTGACCCGTGTATACTGGTGCTGGTTTTAAAAAATAAGGTCAATATGTAAGAGAAAAATAAGATATATGTTAGTCAAAATAAAATCACTGGACCAGAATCCAAATAATTTAGGAGCATTTTAATCTGGCTAGAATAACTTAGGAGCATTTTGCAAGCATGAACGCTCCTTCCTTTTAAAAAAAAAACAAATATAATAAGCAAAATAAATAATAATAATATATATATCGAATAAGATTTTCGTAACATCTTATGTCGTACCTATACGTTAATCATTTTATCACACAAACTAGCTTAGATAATATCAAACGAAAAATAATCCATGTCAATTAACTCTCCTTGTTCTTCAGCAAAGAATAAGAAGATTAGACAGGCGCAAGCAAGGAACGGTTTAGCTAGGATTGGATAAGAAAACGACCAAACATAAGCATTGAAATCTAGATTTTTAATTAAAATTTTCATCTCCCAGTATTGGCATTATTGCATATAGTCTGCAAGTTGTTTCGGGCTAAAAAAAATAGATATAAAAAACTAGTTCATGACTCGAATGGTCATGCACGTGAAATCTTTGATTGCCTTCAATTCATGTGACCAAAAAACGGAAAAGTATGTATACTGTGCAGTCAGCAGTAAACGCAACATATCATAATATATTTTTATCGTCTATGAATATTATTAATGAAGCAAGGAAATACATTGAAGATCAGAGACAATATCAAACCACAAGGAGAACAAAGATCATAATAGACCTACACTACAGGCCCGGATGGTAATGATCTAAGATAATGCAATACGCCTTGAGGCGATAACTCAAAACTTTCCCGCACAACTTGAACAAAGAAAACGGGCTTCAGTCATTGAGGCGATAACTCAAAACACAAACAAAAGGGGCTTCAGTCATAGAGGCGATAACTCAAAACACAAACGTACATATAATATAAGCTAGCTAAAAATTAATTATTATAAGCTTTAAATGTGTATTATATTTTTAAATTATATAAAACAAAAAGTGGATGCACACTTTTTTGTATCACGTACAGTAACATCATTATATGTTTAGTTTCAACTTTCAAGCCAACAGAAATATTCTTGATGGAAAACGGAAAAGAAAAGAAGACAAAAGAAGATAGTCAGAGGTCACATGGAGAGGGAAGAAATTGTAAAACATTATTTTATTATCTTCAGACTCAACCATACATGCATGCATGCATGAAGAAATGCCAAATTACCATATACTAAGTACGAGACACCATTGAAAATATGAAGATATATATATGACTTTAGTGTATCTATATTTTACAATACGAGCATTATCACTTATCGCTTCCAAACCTCTTGACAAATAGTCCAATGACTTTTTTTTGTGTGGATTAAATAACGTTCGAAAATATAGCTTATTATAATTTAAAGAGTTATTTATTTACAAAAAATTAAACTTTCTATATTTGATTTTATGTAATAAGAAGAAAGTTAATTTTAAGGTATACTAGATTTTGATCCGCGCTTGAAAAGCACGGAGATGTTTTATGATTAAAAATTTATATAATTGGGTTTTGTCTTAATTTAAAGAATATTTTGATATAAAATCAGTTCACCAAAATTTGTGGTGATGATTGTTTTTCATTAGTTTTTAGTTTCAGTTTTTATTTTTAGATTTTGGTTTTTGGTTTTTAGTTTTTAAGTTTCTACTTTTCATTTTCAGTTTTGGTTTTGATTTTTAATTTTTAAACCCGTTGAGTTAGTTTGAACTAATATTACCAACAAACAAATCTCAAATAATCGAACATCTAATTTAAAACTGAAAAGATGACAACAAATTTAAAAAAGAAATTTGAAATAGTTTATTTTGTAAATAAACAAAGCAAAAAAATATAACATGTGTTTTCAGCTTTTGGATTTTAGTTTTTAGATTTGGTTTTTGGTTTTTCTTTACATCTTTTTAATCAGTAAATTATTTAAGAATAATAAAACAACAAATTATTTAAAAGTTACCATTGAAATTTATCAAAACAAAGTGATTGTTATTTAAAAAAAAAAATATTAACATGTTTTAAAGTTCATGATTTAAATAAATGATTAATAATAGATAATTTTTTTTTGTTAAAAATATTAAATAACTTTTGGGTCTTAAAATAATAATTGATTTTTTGATCTTTCAAGGTGAAAAGTTTATTCAATGTTTTTGGAGTTTTTTTCTTAATACTAAGCCCAAAAACCAAACTATATAATTTGTTCAGAAAATAAAAGTAAGCCCACGACTATATTCCATAAATAACCATTGGTTTAATTTATGTATAATTAGTAGATTTCCATATTTCATATTTTGATGATATATATTCTTTTAGAACATTTCATATTTGTAGGAGAAAATATGTGTTTTCGGTATACACATAAATACCTGCCGTATTTTGAAGGTAGTTTACATTAAGGTCGTCTCTTTACATTAATTGTATTGGTTTAATTTAAGTAATACGGTTCAATCAATTATATGACTTATATTATTTGTAACATTTAGAAAGAGTCCAAATTTAAATGACAACTTGTATCAGTAGATAAAAAGAATGACTCTATTTTAATAGAGTAGATATATATTAACTAAAATTTTAAATACAAATTGTATATTTTTTTTATTTAATTATTTGGTGTTTAGAAAATATTCACCTAAAATGCAGATCATATGAATGAAAAATAACATCAAAATGTTTTAAATTGTTTAAAATAATAAATAAATATTAAACTGTGTATAAAAATAAATTAAACAATAAAATATATTTTAATACTTACTTTAATTATTAATTTTTATATTGATATTATATATTTATATAAAATTTAAAATTCTAATTATTTTATTAAATGATCTCACATTTTCATCGGTTCGGTTCGGAACTGAAAACATTCTTATATTATCGTATTTATTAATTTGTCAAATATTAATTTAAGTGTTTCTTTAGATATATGATTAAACTAAAAATAAAAAAGTTTATTAAAAATAAAAAAAATACAAACACTATAAATAATACGCTCCATTTCTCATATGTTTTGATGACCGATAGAGCTCAAAACGGTAAGGGGACAAATGATGGTATAGACTCAGAATTAGTTGGCAATAAAAACTGTCAGAAGTCTGCCTAACAACAAACGTTTTAGAGATGCCCTTATTGCTCACTTTGGTCTGATATATTCTATAAAGTTTTGATTTTGAAATCTTGAGAAATCAAAATACCATCTGCATGCATTCTTCATGTTTGATTATAAAATAGAATGCTAATGGTTTTCTGATGAGCTACATAGAAAGAACAAGTTGGAACGGTTGAATTGAAAATGTGAACGGGATAAAAGCTTGAAAGAGTTCCTACAGCTTCCAATGTAGTATGGTAGCCACATCTTTAACCTAGCAAACAACATAGAAAATAAAATCAAACCGTATGTACAACCGATTTGATACACACAATATAAACATAACTCTTCATAATTAACCCCCACCCCCTAGCCCTCTCCCCACACCACCCTAAAAAAAGATCTATATATATGTCATTTGGGTTTCCTTTTTTATTTATATGAAAGTTGAATACCATGAAGATAGAGGCGGAAGAGAGGAAAACAACTCAGCAGATTACAAATTACATATGGAATAGACATATAGATATGATGATGGATGTTCATGATGATGATGATGATGATGGATTGGTTCATACAGAGCTAGTTTCGGAGAGGCCAAACTCAAGTCCCCAAAGCTCAAAAGCACCCTTTATGAAATCATAGTATCCTCCCTTCAAAGCAAGTGTGCCTTTCACAAGTCCTTCTCTCACAAATGGATAAGTCAACAAGTTTGCTAGTGAAACATTCACTGCCTCCTGCGTTAATCAAAACAGTATATTAATGTATAATCTCGTTCAGATAATCTCGTTCAAATATATGTACCCTTTCACATCGGCCACATTGGTCCTCAAATGCTGAATCTCCAAGTTCTGATATGACCTTTGACTTGGCTGGTAAACAGATTTTGACCCAGTCCTCTATGAAATCACTGTAATTTACATAATTCATGAGAAAATTATATCTCATTTAATAAAAAGTTGATGTAAATTTTGTTAAAAAAGGATATAAAGAGACTCTACGTGGAATTGTTTCCATCTAAGGGGAAAGACATAAGCCCTTTTATCCCACCACAAGCGCTGTGTCCTATCACCACAATGTTCTCCACCTATATATCAATAAAAATCAGTTAAATCCACTACAAGTTAACCCTTTTATAAGATTTCTTTTAAATAATTTACATACAGAATGATTTTTCTTGTTTTTTTTGGTAAGGTGTTAATTGTATGTATATTTTTCCATTTTAAGCATATATCATACATAAATACAATATTTTCTTAAGATGGTATGTAGAACCATATAATTAAGCCTTTGTGGCTTATAAAGTAAACGGTTCACCTTAAGGTGCAAAACAGCGTATTCGATGGCTGCTCCAACTCCACCGTATTTGACCTGTAAATTTTAGCAAAAGTACAGAAAACACAATCATCGGTACATCTCCGTAAGACGAATGTTAAACACCTCAGAAGGCTCTAGGTAGAAGAGATAAAAGCAAGAAATTTGTTAAACCTTGTCAAAAGGAGGAACCATGTTTGCTATGTTACGGACGACGAAGGCCTCTCCTGGCTGAAAGTTTAGAACGTGCGATGGACACACACGCGAGTCCGAACAAGCAAACACCATGTACTGCACCACACATTCACACATACATGCATGTTACTTATTTTTCCATCTCTAATTCATAAACTGCTATTTTTATACTCTTATCTTATATATACTTACCTTAGGACTTTGACCCTTGGCGAGCTCACCGTACAAGGTAGGGTTGGTTCTACAAATTAAAATACAAATATGCACTAGTTAAAATCTAGCGTAATCTAATCGCTATATAAAAATTAAGAAAACGAAAAAGAATTACTCGTATTTCTCCTTCTTGAACTTGATGAAGCCTTGCTTAATGTTTTCTACGGGGTCGAAAGCTTTCTTGTCGGAGGATGTACCTGTCTGAAGTGCTGCCGTGGCCTGCTCCACTTTGGCCGCCGCAACCGTCTTTAGCTCCTCCTTCTCACTGCCCATGCATGTTTGTACATATTTTACGATTGATTAAACAAGATTGCTATGTATATGACACACAATTTATAGCCGTTTTTCACTTGGTAAAAAATATAGCCGGCCGGTTTTCAATCCACCATAACTAATCAGATGCTAATATATATATATGGGAATGAGGATGATATTTATTTACATAATAAGCTTCTTGAGAGCTTCAATGGCCTCTTCGTATGCTTCGCTACCCATCTCTTCGCTCTGCAAGTTTGTTGACCAAATAAATTTGTAAGAAAGTGTATATAAAAAAATCTCACAGAAGTCACTAAAATGAGCAGGAATAAGAGCTTCTCGTGTGTGTTAAAGTTGAAACTATAATCAACCTATTCAAGAACAACATTATACGATAAAGAACGATTTAGTGATACTTAATAGAAGATTGGTAATGTGGTTAGGAGCGAAATAGGTGGGTTGAATAAAATGGCGACTTCGTTACAAGTATGCTCCACACGCTCACATATGGTATATGCACATACATACACACGCGTCTCAGTTACATTTAAATCGTTTTGTTAAAGCTACTAGTAAGTTATTTTTTTTTTATCACGTGGATCCTACGACGTACGTCCCAACTTCCAGTTTAAAATTTTTTGAGTAGAGTTGCCATAAACGCCTTTTAAAATTTTAGGGTCATTATTGTTTTTGCACATGCATTATTCAATATTTGATTTAGAACATACATGTTATAAAACTGTTGAAACAAGTAATGATAACTTTCTTTTGAACTTAACAAATAATGATACTCCTATTCATAAATTACACTATAAAGACACATATGAAATTTGAACCACTATAAGTGAACTACACTCTTGTGATTCACTAAGCTACTGTATATATTAGCCTTACTTTGTTTTTTTTGTACGACTTTAAAGTCCAAAAATAAAACATGCGTATTAACAGAAAGACTCATAAAAGGGAATGTGAAGCACACGTGAGTCTCCAGGATTTGTGGAACTTTTTTAAGGAACCGAAATACATGGTTTTGAGGGATTGAAATCAGTGTCCACTATTAGTCTTCTTTTAACTATTTTTGTGATTCGACTACCAGTAACAAAAATAAATGATTTAAAACAGAAACGTAAGAATATCATCAAACGAGAGGGTGAAAAAGAATAAACTAGAAAATTGTGAAATTTTAGGAGGGGGGGGGGGGGTTCGTATCATTAATTACCGAGAATCGAGCTGAATTAAGGATAATTTTAGTTTTCTATCTAGCTATAATTCCTATAATACGTAAAAACAATGTAACTAATATAGGTAAGTAACAAGAATGTAGGTTCAGAAAAAGGGAGATGAATGTAAAATGTATACCCAATAAGGGGTAATGATGGGCGCAGGAGCGGCAAAAACGGGCTCATTACGGATAAGTGTGGGAATGGAACGCGAGGAGGAGGAGGAGGAAGAAGAAGAGGACGGAGGAAGGCAAGCAACGGTGGGAGAAGAACGAAGCGAGAGTTTTTGGAGAGAAGATTGAGAAGGAGAAAGAGAGGTGAGGAAGAAGCCGGAAAGAGGAGCGGTCGACATTTTGCGGGTGAAGAGAAGTTTAGTGAGAGTGAGATTTGTTTATAGTATAGTGATAAGACTTTGTATATGTAATATATAGGCTACTTCTGTGAATTTTGGTGAACGATTTTGAGCGTCTAAAAGAAGGGTGTCATGGGCATGGTGAGGTTGTGGAACGAGGATAATGAAAGCGATGGGTGAGGTGAATAACAAAAATTTCTTCTGTTCTTGTGGATGAGGAATATTAGCTTGACATCTGTTTGAACATTTTACGTGCTTTTATTCATTCAAATTGTTTATTATATATTATTTGAAGAACTGCAGAAAAGGAAAGGTCTCAAAAGGTTGAAAGGATAAGATCCCTTATCACCAAAACAAGGATAAGGCTCTTTCACTTACTATCTCAGGCTCTCATCTTAAATGAACACCACCCACTTCAGATCCTTGGTCATTGTTTGTGGTGCATAATATATGAGAGAGCCTTAGCTTCTCTAAGCGCTCCTAAGGGCCAGAGAGTGCGCTCTTGTATTTACAAATCCAGAAGATGCACACCATGATGAGCTTAAATTAAAGGGGCTACATGACCACACACACAAAAAAGGAGAAATTGACATAGAGACTCATGAGTCATGCATGGACTATTCCATTCTATGAAGTAAGAGACCCAAGTGAAAATTCTTAGCATGAACATGTAACGAATATGAATAAAAAGCCTAAAACAAAGGCCACAAAGGCCAGAAAAGATAGAGAAGCTCTCTCTCTCTCTCTCTCTCTCTCTCTCTCTCTCTCTCTCTCTCTCTCTCTCTCTCTCTCTCTCTCTCTCTCTCTCTCTCTCTCTCCACAATTCTCTTAGATTTTCCATTCCATGAAATCATACAAGCAAAATTAGGGAAGCGCTTGTTCTGTTTTGTTTCACATGTTAAAAAGGAGGAAAACTAAAGACGAGAAATGCACTAGGATTGGTTTGAAGACTTTATATGCAGAAGTTGGGGCAATGGCAAAACTATGTCGACATTTTCATGCAAGCACACACAACATAATGTCAACATTCTCTTGTCATAGAGTGTGTAGAACGTGGCTTTTATTTATTGATTTGGAGTTAAAAAGGAAGATGAGCGCTGAATTTCACAAAGACATTACCTTAAGGAATAGATAGAGACATAGTTGTTGTTGAAGTAAAATTAAGCTTTTGCCAATAAATAAACATAGAATTTTTTTAATTTTTGTTCTAATGCATATTTGCATCATGAACTGACATTTGTTGAAGATTAAAGAGGTTTGAGACCTTATATGTTCCTATTTCTCTAGAAAATAGAGATTTTATAGTGGTTAGTACACTAATTAGATCGTATATGAAGTTTAAAAAAATGACTCGTTGCAAAGTTAGAAATGATGACCATGTACCATGAAAATAAGTTTAGCCTAAGTTAATATACATTTAGAGTGTGGTTTGGTATTTTTAAACAACACTAAAGTGTCTAAAAATTCTAGATAGCATTTATCAAAAAATTCAATTTTTTAAAGGGGTTAACCCACAGATTTCAAGAAAATTGAGAATTTTTTTTTTTTTTTTGTTTTAATGCATATTTGCATAATGAACTGACATATTTTGAAGATTAAAGAGGTTTGAGACCTTATATGTTCTCATTTCTCTAGAAAATATAGATTTTATAGTGGTTAGTACACTGATTAGATTGTATATGAAGTTAAACTAAATTACTCGTTGGAAAAAGTTAGAAATGATGACCATGTACCATGAAAAATATGTTTAGCCTACGTTAATATATATTTATAGTGTGGTTTGGTATTTTTAAACAACACTAAAGTATCAAAAAATTATAGATAGCATTTATCGAAAAATTCAATTTTTTCAAAGGGGTTAACCCACAGATTTCAAAAAAATATAGAATTTTTTTTTATTTTTGTTTTAATGCATATTTGAATAATTAAATGACATATTTTGAAGATTAAAGAGGTTTAAGACCTTATATTTTCTATAGAAAATATAGATTTTATAGTTGTTAGTACACTAATTAGATTGTATATGAAGTTAAAATAAATTACTCGTTGGAAAGTTAGAAATGATGACCATGTACTATGAAAATATGTTTAGCCTACGTTAATATATATTTATAGTGTGGTTTGGTATTTTTAAACAACACTAAAGTGTCTAAAAATTATAGATAGCATTTATCAAAAAATTCAATTTTTCATAGGGGGTTGGTTAACCCACACATTTCAAGAAAAATTAGAAATTTTTTTAATTTTTGTTTAATTCATATTTGCATCATAAACTGACATTTTTTGAAGATTAAAGAGGTTTGAGACCTTATATGTTCCTATTTCTCTAGAAAATAGAGATTTTATAGTGGTTAGTACTCTGATTAGATCATATTGAAGTTTAAATAAATTACTCGTTGGAAAGTTAGAAATGATGACCATGTACCATGAAAATATGTTTACCCTACGTTAATATACATTTAGAGTGTGGTTTGGTATTTTTAAGCAACACTAAATTGTATAAAAGTTATAGATATCATTTACCGAAAAGTTCAATTTTTTCAAAGGGGTTAACCCACACATTTCAAGAAAAACTAGAATTTTTTTTAATTTTTGTTTTAATGCATATTTGCATCATGAACTGACATTTGTTGAAGATTAAAGAGGTTTGAGACCTTATATGTTCCTATTTCTCTAGAAAATATAGATTTTATAGTGGTTAGTACACTAATTAGATCGTATATGAAGTTTAAAAAAATTACTCGTTGGAAAGTTAGAAATGATGACCATGTACCATGAAAAATATGTTTAGCCTAAGTTAATATACATTTAAAGTGTGGTTTGGTATTTTTAAATAACACTAAAGTGTCTAAAAATTCTAGATAGCATTTATCGAAAAATTCAATTTTTTCAAAGGGGTTAACCCACAGATTTCAAGAAAATTTAGAATTTTATTTTATTTTTGTTTTAATGCATATTTGCATAATGAACTGACATATTTTGAAGATTAAAGAGGTTTGAGACCTTATATGTTCTCATTTCTCTAGAAAATATAGATTTTATAGTGGTTAGTACACTGATTAGATTGTATATGAAGTTAAACTAAATTACTCGTTGGAAAGTTAGAAATAATGACCATGTACCATGAAAAATATGTTTAGCCTACGTTAATATATATTTATAGTGTGGTTTGGTATTTTTNATATAGATTTTATAGTGGTTAGTACACTGATTAGATTGTATATGAAGTTAAACTAAATTACTCGTTGGAAAGTTAGAAATAATGACCATGTACCATGAAAAATATGTTTAGCCTACGTTAATATATATTTATAGTGTGGTTTGGTATTTTTAAACAACACTAAAGTATCAAAAAATTATAGATAGCATTTATCAAAAAATTCAATTTTTTCAAAGGGGTTAACCCACATATTTCAAAAAAAATTAGAATTTTTTTTATTTTTGTTTTAATGCATATTTGCATAATGAAATGACATATTTTGAAGATTAAAGAGGTTTGAGGCCTTATATTTTCTCATTTCTCTAGAAAATATAGATTTTATAGTTGTTAGTACACTAATTAGATTGTATTTGAAGTTAAAATAAATTACTCGTTGGAAATTTAGAAATGATGACCATGTACCTTGAAAATATGTTTAGCCTACGTTAATATATATTTATAGTGTTGTTTGGTATTTTTAAACAACACTAAAGTGTCTAAAATTATAGATAGCATTTATCAAAAAATTCAATTTTTTCACAGGGGTTAACCCACACATTTCAAGAAAAATTTGAATTTTTTTTTCTTTTTTTTTTAGTTCATATTTGCATCATAAACTGACATTTGTCAAGATTAAAGAGGTTTGAGACCTTATATGTTCTCATTTCTCTAGAAAATAGAGATTTTATAGTGGTTAGTACTCTGATTAGATCATATATGAAGTTTAAATAAATTACTCGTTGGAAAGTTAGAAATGATGACCATGTACCATGAAAATATGTTTACCCTACGTTAATATACATTTAGAGTGTGGTTTGGTATTTTTAAGCAACACTAAAGTGTATAAAAGTTATAGATAGCATTTACCGAAAAATTCAATTTTTTCAAAGGGGTTAATTAGATCGTATATGAAGTTTAAAAAAATTACTCGTTGGAAAGTTAGATATGATGACCATGTACCATGAAAGTATGTTTAGCCTACTTTAATATACATTTAGAGTGTGGTTTTGTATTTTTAAACAACACTAAAGTGTCTAAAAATTCTAGATAGCATTTATCGAAAAACTCAATTTTTTCAAAGGGGTTAACCCACAGATTTCAAGAAAATTTAGAAATTTTTTTTATTTTTGTTT